ATTTCATTTCTAACATTATCAAATCATTTAGATTGGAAAAGACCTTCAAGTTCATCAGGGCCAACCTTTAACACCCCTGTACCAAGTTCACCCCCTAAACCATATCCCAAAGCACCAGATCTGTACTTTTAAACACATCGAGGCAGGGTGACCGAACCACCTCCCTGGGCAGCCTGTGTAACGCCCTAGCTTTTGATAGAATAACCCCCCCATCCGGATTTCTTCTTCAGTAAATACTTCTTCCAGTTGAAGCTAAGCCAGTCCTCAATGCTGATTTTCTCTGTCCCGTTTTAACTCAACCCAAACTGTTCTGGAGTGGGGGAAATCAGGAAAGTTTAATTTCTGTCTGTGTGAGTCGGAGTATAAAGCGTTTGGGGTTTATTTTTTTAGGGCAATTGCGACACTTTTCATTCCCCGTTCGTTCTGAATTCCTTTCCCCGGGAAACTCGTTTTCTTTGCCCGCCTGTGAGCTGCCCAGGGAGCCGCAGGCTGCTCCTCTCCCGCTCTGGGGCACGAACTCCGCTCTGGGGCTCAGGGGGTCGGCGGGGCTGGGGAGACAAGATGGCGGGGCGGGGCCGCCCCTCGCGCCGCGGCCGTTGGAGCCGCGCGGCGCCCTGAGGGGAGGGGCGCGCGGGGAGGGACCGGCCGGGGCTGCGGGGCCCGCGCGCGCGTACCGTTCCTTCAACAGAAAAGGCGAGATAGAGCTGTTCCCTCTCAAGCGTGTAGGGCGGGGCTGCGCAAGGCGGTGACACATCTAAAAACACAAAAATACCAGACTTCCAAGCCCATGCCGCAATATTCAAAGCTGTTTATTTACTACATATCCCACAGACGTGTCTTTGTCAGGAGAAAGCAAACCCAGCCGATCACACCTGTGGGGAGGGAGGCAATGCCAGCAGTAACGCCAGCACACCAAGCTCCAGCTACGAGGAGGGGAGAATAATCCTGATTTCTTAGCTTTTTTGGAATGCCAATACTTTGTGTGACTTGCAAAAAGACCGAAAGAAAACCACATTCCATCTCCTGTGCTGCTGAAGAACTGATGTGGAACACCAGGGAATTAATACCTCACCACACTCTCAATTTTTTATTTTTTTTGGTTAATATTAGCTTTCCTCCTCTGACTTCAGAAGTAGGGGAACCACTAACACTCTACTACCAGGTTGCTGAAAACAGGGAGAGGCTGAGAGCTGCACATTACAGCACTGTTCCTGAAGTGAATTAACTCCTTGTGTCAGTGTCACGCTATTCTCAAGAGCATTTTAATTAAGTCCAGGACCTCCAGACTGGGCGACCCATTCTCCATGATTAAAGCTAGATTCTCCTACTGAGGTGCTGTGACTTCGTATTTTCTGAAAATATGGTAATGGTGCAGTTTGTAGCTTTTACATATTTTGCTTTACTCAGTGATCTGCTGTATTCTCCTTGTGGCAGAAGGCTCTGAAACTCAAGGACAATAAAGCAGAATGAAAAAAAAAGAGAATAATAATTCAGATGTCTCTGCCAGAATTTATCCTAAAGGATAAATAGGAATAATAAGTGAAGAATACATAGAATACATACTTATTTTAATTTTCAAGGCATAACTTTGTATACCATGACTAACAGTTGAACAGCTATGCAACTAGTTCTCTGAACTGCATTATCAATAGGAAGCTCTGATTCTTCCTTGAGAACTGGACTCTTTCCTTGCCTTTAGAAATACAAAGGTAAGGGGTTTTACAGAGCTTGAGAAATGTTTAGAAATATTTCTAATTTTCTGTATTAACTATTCCTAGTGGTATTTCAGCTAATTAAGCAAACCAGAAAACCAGCCAATTAAAGTGGTATTATTAGCTAACAACTGCCACCATACCTCAACATTAACAAACTTCCACAATGAAAAACTGCAAAGCATGTTTTCCCTCCATTGATCTCCAAAGGCCCCTTCAAAGAGCTTATCAAAGACAGAACAAGCATACTCTATCAATATTGTAACACAGCTGTGCCTTGCACTTCATCTGAATTTGTCACAGTCCTTCCATCATTAACTATTTTCATAGTTTCACAGAAAGCTCGTGCTTCAGATTATTTTGTGGGCTTTTGCCTAAACTTTATAGTGAAGAGGTTAAAACTGGTGAAAAACATTTACCATATTCAAATGAAAATAAAGGTAGAGATATTTTCTTTCCAGAGCTACAGAATAAAATTAGACCTTCAAAAAAATCAGAAGTTTTAAACTAATGTAATAAAAAAGTACAGTTACTAGCATCAAATACACATACAGGAAACACATTTCTAAAGATTTTTGCCATTAATAAAAACAGAAACAAAGACATCTTCCTTACTTTCTAGTTATTTTCTAGACCATTGTGTCAAAGAAGGATCATACCTGTGCTACATTGATCTCCTTTCCAAACACTAAGACTGTGCACAGTAATGTCTGCAAAGCTAACTGCAGTCTGTCATCGCTATTTCTGGTAGAAGTATTATTTGGGCATTAAAAACCTGCTGTTTACAAGGACACGTGCCCTGTTCACAGTGTGTGTTACACAGTACCTCTTTACACGTACAGATTAATTAGGACAGCTGTAAGTTCTTGCCTGGTGCCAGTGGTCCTTGGCCTGTCACACCCATCTTTGCAAACCCTTCAATCTGTTTCAACAATGCACAATTTGTTAAAACAGGAACTGTATTAAAAATACCCCTTTCCCAGCAACTGGATTGATTCACCTCACTAACAACTAGACAATGTTCTGCTGCCCTTCAGGGAGACACTTCTTCAACTGCCTAGGTCCTCTGAGAGCCAAAGGTAGCACCTGCATGGACCTTAATGGAAGGATGTCTGACTGCCCCTTCTGTCTTACATCCACACTTATTCAGCCTAATCTTTACAGTATTTATGCTCTCCAGTATTACATTCAAGAACATGTTTGGCCTTGGTTTATCCCAAAATCGACTAACAGAGGGTTAGAAGCCTGAAGCATGCATGTGTAAAGCTGAAGTCTCAACCTAGGTAAATCAGCAGTAAATGCACTAGTCTAAGTATCAGCTACTTGGAAATCTTCACCAGTCATGAACTAACACACTCATCAAATTTTGCTTTAAATGTCGTTGGTGCTTTGGAAGTGTTTTACAGTGTGGTCCATCAGAACTGCTCTTTTGATTTCACCATGAAAATGGGGACATCTACAAAAAGGAAACAAATAAAATAGTGAACTTTGCCAAATAGTCAAAGGCAGGCTGTAGACTTGTCAAAGTGGACTCAGCTGTCACCATGTGTCAGTTCATGCCTCAACATGTCTCTTCATTCATCAACACAAGAAATGCAATAGAGAGAAGGATAATAATACGTCTAGAAGAAATAAGATTTTCAGAAGTGACTATTGATTTAGATTCATCCTTTTCTGGGCATTCAGCTAGGGGTACTTTAAACAGCTGAGACTTCAGGAAGTGCTGGACACTCAAATATGAAACTGTCATCCTGGAAAAGACCTTGAGTTAGGCATCTAGCAATAACATAAAGTTGATTTAATTGGTTTTTCACACGTACCACTACTATTAACACTCCGTTTGATCCAGTCAGCAAAATCACCAACATTTGTGTATACCCCTGGGTATCTCTTCCTTCCACATCCCAAGCCCCAGCTAGTGATACCATGAAGGGTGTAAGATCCTGAGTTATCTTCTGAAGGACAAACTAATGGGCCATCAGAATCACCCTGCACAAGGACAAAGGAATCTTGTTATGCACTAACGTCACTCCTTATGTTTTTTAACTATCAGGTCAGCTACAGGAGGTCCCAGCTGCTTGTGTATTTGGGGCTGTTTTTAAAAGACAGAGAAAGAACCTTTGCCCAGGGGAAGTCCTTATTTTTGCAATATGAGTAATTAAAATCCTACTATTAAGGACTGTAAATCACCTACAACCTGTTGGCAAGAAAACAGCTCTCAGTGAGGCTTTAACACTCCTCTTTTCAGAACCCATTAGCCATACTCCAAGCGTCAGAGGCAAAGGTGATATGTGCAACTTACTGTGCATGAGTCCTTGCCTTCTTCCAGAGGGAATCCAGCACAGATCATCCTCTGGGTCACTTTACTGGGAAGATTTACATAATAGTGCTGACGTGTCAAGCATCAGGATGGAGACTTCCAGCTGATGCAGCTTCTTCCCCTTTTCTCTGTCTTGAAGTAAAAGATATCTCAGAAACCAGCAGAGGCATGAATTAATGATTCCAGAAGGAAGCTTTACTTTCCTTTTCCAAATGGTCTCAATCTAAATTACCTGATTTCTTTCCTCCCACTCATTTCATTGCATGTCTAGCTGAGATTGCACAAGTGAAAGCTTTTCAACACATCTGTCATCTGGAAACTAATGTATATACAGACTGAATGTTACAGCACAGAACGTAGTATTTAAAACACAGTTCCAACATGTTCAACCTTCACAATCAAAGACCTCCTTCATGTGCACCCCATCCTGTGACAACACACACATCCCAGGGCTGGACTGCCTCCACCTTGGCAGGGAGACACACTGGCTGCACAAAGTGGTTGAATTCTAAGGGCTCGGTCAGTTCCAGTAAGGCAATGTCAGAGTGCATAGTGGTCTTGTTAAAATTTGGATGCATAATATACTGCTTTACTGACCTTTTCTAGGAAAAAAAGGACATTGACATTTTCTGAATGATATGGGAATTTGAGTCTTTAAGTAACTTTAATCTTATAAATTTTCAGGCCATATGCAAGATACCATAAGAGGAGGAAACATTTAAAAGCAGCTGCTGAAGCCACCAGCTTTCTTATATTAGCAAGTCAAGATTATGCCTCTTGGACATGATCATGGGGATCACACAGGAAACTCCATCCGGTAAGTGGAGGAAGAGGTTATTTTAAAAGTGTTTGTCCAATCTGAGCAAAGTGGAAAGTTGTGCAATTATTTCTGCCTTGGTAATAGTGACCAGGGACTTCAGAGACATTCACACATTCTCCAGGAGCTTTGGAGCTCATTACTGGTGAAGGCACAGATCTGTGTTAATACAATTTCTCTGACAGTCACATAAAAGCTGTTGTGTAAATGCAGGTTAAGGTCAGCATGTAGGCTGTTAGGTTGCTGCATCATGAACAACTTGGGAGATACATTTACATTTAAAACTATTTTGAAAGATTGACATAAATTTTATCATTAAGCAGAACTTAATAGTACCTGTCTATATTCTTGCTCTGTAAGATCATGGAGGCCAGTTACCACCATCCATAAGTCTCTGTATAATTCCCTAAAAATAAGCAAAAAAGGAGAAGTACATTCTCAGGCTGCTATAACAGCATTCTTGAAACCTGTGAATCATAAAACCTCCCCCACCCAAACTGAATTCCTAAGGCTTTACATATTTCTGGGCCAACAACTCCCAGGGCCCATACTCCCATGCACATCTATGGAAATCTAGTAGGGAACATGACATATTCTCATGATGAGGCAGTAGGATCTCTCAAGCACAGAGTGAACTGAGAGAAAGGTCACTTTTATAAGGACTGGGGGTGCCTGATGCAGAACTCAAGGCCTGCATGGTCCACACCATCCAAGAAGTTTACCCTTGGATAAACACATCCAAAGTGGTTTTTTAAGAGTGAAAATCACAGAGACTATCCATTTGTCTCCTCTCAATAAAGTCAGAAAACTCTCTATGTAATCAGATTTAACAGATTGATAGATTCTTAATAAGGAAATGGCATCAACTGTGTACACAGAAGTCTCCTGTATGTCTTCCTAAATCTACACAAATTCAGTAATTTTTGATAGATTGATTCTACCTGAATGAGAACATGCTCTGTAAATGATCCAAACACAAAGAGTAAGTGACAGTTGACAAGGGACTTACTATCTTGTAATCTCTTCTGAAAACTGGTCTGAATGAAATCCAAGCCTAGAGGGGTAGGCTACCTACTTCCTTAAGTGATTCCTTACTTCCACTGTGATCCTAGTACATGCATGTGGAGCAAAAGAGCCCAATGCCAGTGTGAGCTGTAAGTTGCTGGTAACCAAAACTGCCAGCCACCCTGAGCAGGATCACCATGCTGCAGAAATGCACCATCGCAGCATTAAAGACATTCCTAGCAAAGGGTTCATCCCAGTGTACTTACGTAGAATTAAAGCAGTGAGCAGCTGTGACAACCCATTCTTCGGCAAGAACTGCTCCTCCACAGATATGCTCATCTGAAATTTGTACACTGACTTGCCATGGCCATGAGTGTGGTACAGCTTCTTCACCTCCAGTTATTCTACTGAAGACGAACCTGGATTGATTTGAAGGCATTCCACAAGTATCACCTGAAACAGAAAGTACAGATGTCTCTAGGAGTCTTCAGAGGTTAGGATCTGGAGAGGCAAAGAACAGTCTATTTAGGAGCTACCCCACAGCTTCTCAAGCCCCTCCCCCTTTTTTGCTAAATCTTTCAAAATCCCTTATTAGAAAGGATCCACATTTTAGAGATAGTGTGAGGAGATGATCGTAGTGAAAACAAAGCTTCACCAAGATGAAAGCAACTGCTTGCCTTCAGAAGTTTTAGCCTCAAACCTACAATTAATATGGACTCATCCCATTCTCCACAAAGTATTGGAGGGAATAAGGGAAGTTCTAAAACACTAGTTATTATTTTCAATTACCCTGTACCCTTTGCACTTTTCCTCAAAATATCTTGATGAAAAATTCTGAGAAAACTGCATCCATTAAGTATTTGCAGACCATCTAAATTATAGTCCAAACAGTACTGAAATAAAAAAAAGCCCATGAGGAAAATATAACAGGTTGGCTTACCTGTTGTAACCTGTGTTTCTTTTTCAATCATATCCATATCTTTAGATTCTTCACTGGTTGAATGCAAAGTATCTAAATCCAAAAAAAGAAAATAGAAAAAGTGTTAGCAAGCTGTCTTGAGTGATAGTTTTATTACAGAATCACTTTTTTTTTCCTTTATTATGAAGTTTGTAGAAGGAATAGATTTCTACAGTAGGGATCTGTGCTGTTACCTCTTCACATAGTAGTGAAGTGCCACCTAAAATGCACCATAATACTCTTACACAAAACAAAACTCTGAGGCTTTGAATAGATTCATTCTCTTTCTTCACCCACTCAACTGGCAGGTTTTTTTTAATGCCTCAAGAGGTTCCCAATACAGTTTTTTCACTGAAACAATTTATTTGACGAGACTCTCTTGGAGTAAAATAATTCTGGATAGCCAGATACACTGAAGAGCCCTTTTTGCTGCCCCAAAGAGGCAGTTTCTCAAGTTACTTCTCTTACCTGTTGCATGAACAAAAGAGATTGTAGCTCTGAATCCACTAAAGGCCTCTGTTGCATCAGAGTGAAAGACAACAAGCATCATGGCAGTGGAGCTTAGAACAGGTGCTGGTAGGGCAAATCCACAAGACTTATCTAAAGGTGAGAAAGCAAATGTTCACTGCAGATTAAAACATGTACTTCTTCATTGTCATTTCTTTCAACAGTGGGTACCCAATATTCTATGTATCCCAGCTCTCACACAGGAGGGTAAAAAATAACTATGCACAACAAAGGAGTAGGTATAAGCAGACTGAGGCTGAAGAACTGTTCTGTTGTTCCTGATGGTCTGTCCTTGTTCAGCAACTAGCTTATAAGAGCAAGGAGACACTTGCATTATGTCACAAGAGCCTATTGCAGCACTCAGCTCATAGGGTGCCATTACATATAGAACACACAGGAAACCTGATTTCTCCTTGTTATTGTTGCAGCACTAGCACCTGCTAGTGCTCATCTAAGCACTAGCATCAGGCAAGTGCTGAAATCAATTGACTGGGACAGGTCTTCTTCTCATTCAATGTAAGCCAGGGGAATCTCCAGCAAGGTGGAAAGAATTACTGGAATGCTCATCTGGAGTGAAGAACAACTGGACTCTGAAAAGGAGACCTCTTGGGTGCTTTCTGTGTCTGATCTTTACTATAAAAACAAATTACTTTGCTATGCCCTTGTCTTTATTTACGTGAATTCAGAACTGCATTTCATATAGAACTTAAATACACAGGGATTTTGCCTCTGCAAATGGAACAGAAGGAGCATACCTGCAAGTATTTTTCAGGGCACTGAAACTAGTACCTATGACATCACCTGAGACTCTAGAGGGGAACTTGATTTTACACTAGCCCTGTTTTTGCAGTCTAAGTCAGAAAAAAAATAGGTCATCCCCAAAATATGTAAAAAATCAGACGTCTAACCAATTTCCTCCTCTTTTTGCACATCTTCATACACAGTCACAGCATCATAAGAGCAATCTTCACTCTCTTCTACTTCAAAAGACTGGTATGTAAGCTTTAAAAAGAAAATGAAAAAGTGAACCTTTTAAATTCACACAAAAAAATATCAGAGTTCTATAGTAAGGTCTTTAGTATTCTCAGTGATTCCTTTAGGGTTTGGTTTCTCTGACATTAAGACCTCTCACAGGTGATATATTACATATTACATTTGCTATAAGAATCTTTCATAATAAAATTTAAACCAGGATTTCCTATTTTACTATAGCCTAAAGGAGAAATCAAAATCTGTCTGGCTTTTGGGATGAAAAGTGATTGATCTTAACTGCATCCAGCAGCACTATTCAAGCTCTTGTTGCTTGATCACAAGTGCAAATTCCTGCACCTGTGTTGGGGCTATAACAAAGATAGGGACAGACTTTTTAGCAGGGCCTGTTGCAATAGGACAAGGGGTGATGGTTTTAAACTAAAAGAGGGTAAATCTACACTTAGTATAAGGAAGGAATGTATGATGAGGGTGGTGAAACCACAGGTTGCCCAAAGAGGTGGTAGAAGCTCTATCCCTGGAAACATTCAAGGTCAGGTTGGACAGGCCTCTAAGCAACTTGATCTAGTTGAAGATGTCCCTGCTCATTGCACAGGGGTTGGCCTAGATGACCTTTAAAGGTTCCTTCCAAACCAAACTATTCTGATTCTATGATCTTGCTTGCCCTTGCTGCATAATTTCTTGTTAACTCAGTGGTGCCCACTTCAATTCTATAGACACAAGAATAGCTCATATACCTTGATTATATGATCCTGTGGTGCACAAATAATCCATTGACAATCTGCCATGTTGCTATAGTGCTCTGGATAGTGCATACTTTGTAACACTCCTTCTTCAAAAAGAACAGCTAAGAATTCACAGCCAGCATCTGGAAAGCCAGGAAAACAAAAACAGATGCTGTGATTTCCTATTCAGTCATTCACACACACAAAAAAATTAAATCCAGAAAAAAACTTGTGTTACTTTCACACAGCTAAGAAAGAGAACAGGACTAGAGCAGCAAGCCAAATCCTTCTGTTTGGAAAAGATGGAAAGAATTTTTAAATCTATTCCCAGGATTACAGCATTCCCCTTTGGATACAGGCAGTGCAGGCACTAGTACCTTTGTGGGGTGACAGAAGACCAGGACATGGGCACGTCAGCTTTCTTTGGAGAGGAAAGTAAAGACATAAAACACAACTGTAGGACGTCTTCCTGATGGGCTATGCAGTGGCAAGGCCCTCAGAGGGGATTCTTCCCTATACTCTGGCATTACACTCTGCTGAAGAAAGAAACTAGCTGGAAGAGCTGCAGAAATGGGAAGAACAGGTGTCTGTATGCAGCTGGATTGTGCTGACTCAGCAGATGAACCTGCAGCCTGCTTTCTAGTGGTGATGAACTGCACTGCACAACAAAACTGAAAGCAATTCTCCACGACTCCACAAGCTGCCTCTCTCGGGGCCCTTCCATGAAAGCATGCCTGGGACTAGCAAAACAGCTTCCATCTGGAAATTCTGCTCGTTTGACTGATCTCACTGAGTTTTAAAACATTCTGGAAGTAGGGAAGGAAATGAGGTCTTGTAGAAAGTGAATAAATAAGAGGCAAAGTTAAAGGGCTTCTCTCAACAACATCTATCCTCTCTCTTTCTGGCATCCCAGTTTCTCCACAACGTCACTGGGCAGCCTAACCACACTTACCTTGTTCATAACATCATCCACATGGAAATATCATAGGAGCTTCCTCTGATTTATTTTCTCCTGAAATTTTTTTCAGACCCAAGAGTGCAGGCAGGTATATTACTAGATTTAGACTTACCAGGAAGAATATCTGGAGTAACAGCTTTGTAGGTCAAGGAAAAAACAGTTCCATAATCCTTGTAATCAGAAATTAATTTCAGCCTTATACTATTGGAACGAATCAAAATAGGTAAGGGAATATCTCCTCCACAGAATTTCCCTGAAATACATGTTAGAGAATAAGCACTGTTCTAAGTCATTAGTCACTTGAAAAAATGTGCATGTATCATTTTTAGTATTGAGCTATGAAAATTTTAGGATGAAAAGGAAACTGCTTACTCATTCCTCTATATTTCCTATTAGTCTATTAGATCAAATAGACCCACATTATTAAAAACTGAAAATCCTTGACACCAGAAAGTTCTCTGCCAGGCATTTTCCATTCTTTTCTCCTCCCACACTCTGTATTTTATTTTAGATTATATGTCACAACACATAATGAAAACATAAGTAAAACACAATCAGCTGCAATGTCCTCACTGGGTGTACTTGCACTTAGAATGAAAGAGAACACTTGATTATTTCAAAGAATAAGGGGGTGGCAACTCACCAATAAGTCTGTTGTCTTTTGAAAAGACTGATCAAGAATCATAGTCACAAAATATTCCCTGCTTGATATCAAAGTGGGAAAAATGAAGTGACACATAATTCCCTTCTGGTACAAAGAGAGTCCATACACACAATCTGGAACAACAAATTAGTTCCCATTCACAAAACTGCAACAAAAAATACATCAACAGGGGGAATAGTTTCTGGGGGAAAATTGTGTTTTGTCTACTTACTGGTGGTTTTGATAGAACTGTTTAGGACTTCCAGGAAAATTTAATTCTCCTTCACTGTCAGGGAGTTTGCCATCCTGAATACTACAAAATGCTGTAGCAAAAGTGAAGCACTGCCAATGTGCTATCATATTTTCTTATAAAAATGGTAGTGTTTGCTTTTTACCTTCAAGAAACTATTTGAGGATTTCAGTACAATTATTTTCAGGGAGGAAAAAAGCCTGCCTCAGGACATAAGAAAAGTGGTCATTGCAGCCCAATTGTAATAACCTCCTTAGCCATGTTACAGCAGACTTTTGCTGTAACAGTACAATATAGTATTAAAGACACTTCAATAGAAGAAGCAGAAGCTTTCCTCTCCTGATAAGTCTCACTAAAAACAATTACTTAAAAAAATATCTCCTCTTTCCTTTTCTTCTTGCAAGGTAAGCAAGTAAAACATTTATCAACAACTATGAAAACAAATTTAAGGAGCCATGTACTTCTCATATTATCTTACCTGAAGTGTCCTATGAATATGAATAAAAAAAATTAGAAAGACACAAACAGCACTGACACGAAACACTCACTGGCCACAGCAGTTCTGTACAAACTGATCGCATGCCCAAGCTAATTTATCATCTGAGATATCTTACTCTAAGGTACTAAAATTAAAACTTTAAGATCTAGTTCACAGAAGTTGTTTCTAGTATCCTTATGTGAACTTGACTGAGATCAACAGCATCCAACAAGAACATAAACATGGCAGAATCAAAGACTTGAGTTTTAAAACATGTTACATTTGGCATTGGGATTTGTGGGGTATTTTTGCATTTGTTTAATTGAAAATAGTAGATAGGTTCATCATAGACAGCACTAAAGTACCTCTAATTTACCTCATACTTTCTACTTAGAATCTATCTTTTTATACAGAATCAACAACACTAACTAGATTTCATGTATTGCTTGAGATTCTGTTCTACATTTTTTTTCTTCATGGATTATATATACCACTATTTTTGGGGATCATTTATGCTCTAACACAGATAGAATATACTGAAAAAAATACTGTACTCACCTGTGGAGCTTTTCATTTTCAGATCTAAAAAGGAGGGACAGGGAATGGGGTAGAAAAAGAATAGTAAGTTACTGTAGTTTCATATTCACAATGTAGGTTTTATTTATCTGTGTTAAATGGTCATTTTATACAGCTAGCAGTTGAGGTGAATTCAGATGCTCTTGATGACATTGTGCCTACAATAAACTAGGCTTAGAATTAAAACAAAATCCCAAATTCAGACAATGCTGACTTTGGAATAGACAATTCTGCAGTAGCCACTTTAAGAATTAATCACACATTGATCAGCCCCTCCTCAGTCAGAGCCACACCACAGTACTGTCCACATACTTGCTGAATAAGTACTATACATTTCAGTTAAAGGTAGCAGAATCCAGCAGCTAGCATCCCATCAGGGGCATGGAGACATGGAGCCTGATAGTAATTACAGTGAAGATCTTTTGCACCAGAGTGTCTGTGTGAAGAGTAAGCATGCAAAACCCAGTGCAGTGCAATTAAGAATTGTGCTTTCACTTTACCTGCCAAATAGCTTTTCCTGTTCACTGGAGCCAACACACTTCAATTACCACAATAACTAATCTTTTTTTTTTTCCTAGTAATAAAATTGGCCAGTTAGAAATTTTTTAATAAGAGGACCCTATATCTCTCTTTTCTTCCTATGTTCTTTAAATTGAAAACCAAAATATTTTTCAGAAGCTAAACTCTCTTCATTCTTCTCCAACATTGTGAGGGCTTCTTTTTTCAATCATGACTTGAAGCTGGTTTCTAATGGGAAAGTTGGGGGTTTTTCCCCCTCACGATTTTTTTTTCCTATAATGGACTAGCAAAACCTCTTCAACACCCTTCTGTAGTTTTTCAGTTCTGCTTAAATTATAACATAACCTCCAATACTTTTTAAGGAAAATAGTCCAAACTAGAAAAAAAAAAAAAAATCTCTGAAGTTCACCCTGGTTAGACTGTCATTTATTTATACCTTCAACTCCATAATTTTGGAAGTGATGGATAATTTTCATGCTGTTCCCCTGGCACAGAGGGCATACATAGTTTTATGGGCAGAGCAAGCAAAAACACTTCTGAAAGCATGACTTTTACCCCTGTAGACTAATGTCTGATCCAGCATGTTTTATGTGAGGAAAACAACAAGTGACTTTGAAGAGGTTCATAAGGAATTTCAGACACTTTCAACTGGTGAATTTCCACTAAAAGAAAAAAATACCAGGCTAAGTGGCTAGCTGGATAAAAGGACCATTATTAAAGTGGAAAAAAAAAAAAAAGAAAAAAAATATACACACATACACAGTTACCTGCCAAATAGCTTTTCCTGTTCACTGGAGCCAACACACTTCAATTACCACAATAACTAATCTTTTTTTTTTTCCTAGTAATAAAATTGGCCAGTTAGAAATTTTTTAATAAGAGGACCCTATATCTCTCTTTTCTTCCTATGTTCTTTAAATTGAAAACCAAAATATTTTTCAGAAGCTAAACTCTCTTCATTCTTCTCCAACATTGTGAGGGCTTCTTTTTTCAATCATGACTTGAAGCTGGTTTCTAATGGGAAAGTTGGGGGTTTTTCCCCCTCACGATTTTTTTTTCCTATAATGGACTAGCAAAACCTCTTCAACACCCTTCTGTAGTTTTTCAGTTCTGCTTAAATTATAACATAACCTCCAATACTTTTTAAGGAAAATAGTCCAAACTAGAAAAAAAAAATAAAAATCTCTGAAGTTCACCCTGGTTAGACTGTCATTTATTTACACCTTCAACTCCATAATTTTGGAAGTGATGGATAATTTTCATGCTGTTCCCCTGGCACAGAGGGCATACATAGTTTTATGGGCAGAGCAAGCAAAAACACTTCTGAAAGCATGACTTTTACCCCTGTAGACTAATGTCTGATCCAGCATGTTTTATGTGAGGAAAACAACAAGTGACTTTGAAGAGGTTCATAAGGAATTTCAGACACTTTCAACTGGTGAATTTCCACTAAAAGAAAAAAATACCAGGCTAAGTGGCTAGCTGGATAAAAGGACCATTATTAAAGTGGAAAAAAAAAAAAAAAGAAAAAAAATATACACATATACACAGATATAGTCCAAGTAGGAAGTAAAGTGGAAGATAAGTAAATATTTACAGTGCTCTCAGTTTGGTTTTGGCAACTGCCAATCAGCACCATATACTTAGAGGCACTGTTAAATGCTACAGTGCTTTGCAAGGGAAAATGGGAAAAATGTAACTACTATATCTTGAAAAAGACAGTTAAGTGAAATATTACTACAAGACAGAAGACTTGTCAAAGGTGAGGGACACATCACAGTGGAGACTTAATACCAGCACTCATATTCTCTTGAATCCAGGAAAGCACCACACTCAGGCCTGTGAATATTCCTGGAGATCCTCTGTCATAATGTTTCTTCTCCTCATTACTTATCCAGGCACAAGCACATCTCATCCCCCATGAGATGACACCAGCAAGAGTCCAGGCGCCATGCTTACTTCAGCACATAAAAGGGCCTTCCGAGTCTCCCTGTAAAAAAAGTAAAGGCCACAACCCACAGCTAACACAAGCGTGTGCATGCCACTCAGCAAGTCTTTAAAGCTTAGTGAGTTGCCTTTTGTGCCATGCTAACAAACCTGCAACATAGGGAATAGTAATTTAAAAGAAAATTAAGAAAGAGCTTTTTAAAAATTGTGTTTAGTCAGGATTGTCAAGAGGGAGAGAGACAGACTAATTCCTTCAGGGGTGCACATCTGTTGTGTAAAACATCATGTAAAAAGAAGTGAGGAGCTTCATTTTTACCCCCATGGCAAGAAACAATCCCTTAACCTTTATCTCACTTCCTTTCCTTCCAAGACAATACTTTCTACTTTGCTCCTTAGGATCTTAGCAACGTTAATTATCAAGTGTTCTAAAATTAGAAAGCCCTAAGCTTCATTGCACTGGGATACATTGCAAAATTGCTCTCACCTGTTATACAATTCATACAATAATTACTATGGAATCAAGCAATTAAGTCCAATGCCCCATACAGCAGAACTTTTGAAAGAATTACCACATGCAAATAAATATGCTCGAAATATTGCATTTAACAGTGTATTTTATTCACTTAGGCACACAGAGCCTTGAGCTTCTGGGAAACACTTTTAAATACACAAGGCCCTCTGTTCAGCTGACCTGGCAGGCATCTTTTCCTCCATCTGGAAATCCAGTACACATTATAGTGTCTCCTTGGATGGGTTTCTTTAAAGTTGATAATGCTCTTGAACATTCCTTACTGGTTAGGATTGGTAGATTGACTTCATGTAAGACCCGAGGGAGTACTCCATCTGAAATATCAAAAAAATCATAAGAAATGCTGAAAGGTAAACTTCATTTCCCTGCTAATACCCAGGAGAGGGAGGGGGGGAGAAAAAAGTTGTAAACTAGCCTCAAGCCATTTAATGGCTACATAACCATCCTGTTTTGTGTATGTAAGCAATTTTACTTGAATAAAATTTAAAATGTTGCAAAATTGAAATACAGGTCTATATATTGTAGTGATCTGTGTGGAGACAATTCACAGATAGGCAGAGCAGCCAGTAAAGATCCCAATTTGAAATTACAGTTCTTATGATCAGTTGATGTGCTTTTTTTCTGATCTATAGCCTATGCAATAAAGCTCTTAGCTTCAGAAATAAGACACTGAGAAACTTTAATGTCAAAGAACAATTTGAGTGGCTTACTCTCATTTAAACGGCCCCAACCAGAAGCAGTGCAGATATATCCTGCTTCAAACTTTTCTCCGGGATCAGGAAGGCAGGCTGGCAAAACAGATGAACCTGCCACACATGGACATGAATTTTATTGATAAGCATTTGAAAGAAAAACAACAAGCTTCCTTTCCCAGTTCAGGGAGGGGGATGCTTTTAACTGAAAAGTATTGCTATTTTTGTGGCATCTGGAAAACTAATCTGGCATTTGGCAGTTCACCTGTGTCTCCACTTGGTAGTGTTTTGTATGGAAAAAGAAAGCCAGGAACACCACAAACTTCAGCCCAGGCCTTGCTCTTCAGATTAATTTTAGCTGCTATCATGATCCCAACTCCCATTAGAAAAGTAATAGCACAGCTTTGTGGTGGCAAAGTCATGTAAACCTGATGTGAAGTGGCCCTTCAGAGAACCTGACTGCAAGACAGTGTACAGTTGAGAAAGGGCTGGCTCACAGGCCAGGAAACAGGGTGTCAATAGCTGTCCTCCCTTTCCTTTGCAGCCCCCATGGACATTCTGCCACTACTAAAGGTGACCCCATGCTCCTCTCTGCAGCCTTCAAGGAAGGGAAAAGAAGACAAAATACTCTAGAGATGTTTTGTGGTATCATCTGGCAACTGGGTTTAAACTGAGTTTCAAGACTTTTCACAGCATGTGGGAGAAACAAAGGCCATGCCTCTTTACAATAGACTAATTTACAGATGCTCGCTCAGAAAGAATGATAAAGAAAGTAATAAACAATAAGGAAAGGTTTCTTAGAGAGCAAGAGAGTTTCCATGTTCTCTCTGCCTGCTTCACTGCTTTTCATAAAAGCAGAATGCAGCTCAACAATACACCGTAAGTGTCAGTAAGCACAAAACACACCTGTTTTCTCCTTTTGTAATTTCTATTAAAAGTCAGGTCTTTGTTCTGAAGATAAAAATCACATTAGGTTGTACAAACCTGCCATGGATGTGAGCCTTGTTTCACCTGGTTTCCCCCAACAGTCCGAGTGAAAATGTTAAAGTAATTCCATGGCTTTGTCTCTTGAACTTTCTGCCCACACTTAGGTTCTGAGGAATAAAAGGGGGAAAAGAAGGAAAGATTTAGTTTGGATTTATATTTTTCTACTTTTTAGTAACAAAGAATTGGAAGGCATGACCTGATGCAGAGATCAGTGCAATTTCTCTGCCATGACATGAACATTCTTATAATTCCTTGTACAAACTTCCCAGACTAAGGGTAAATTGGACTAAAAAAATTTGGACTAATTGCTGCTTTCAGAAATTTACACCCAGCATTTGTACAAAATGTTTTGGACAAAGAGGGTGAAAATGCACAACACACACACCTCGATTACCAACAACAGTGGCTGAATTTCTCCAGAACATCTATTCCTGGGTCAAAGAATAGTAATTTCTATTTCTTCATTATTGTTACCATCTACTAATGCCAAGTAAAGCTGATAATATTTATGTATTTGTAAAGGAGTATATTCATAGAAGCAAACATTTGTGGTGATAACTACTGATTTTGGTAGTCTTTTAAGAAAGACAGAAGCAAAGCAACCAATTCTGCCAAGCAGGACAAGAGGAATTCTTTGTAGTATGTGTCCCAAACCCAGCAGTGACCACAATTATTTTTTTCTTAAAACTGTATGAAAGCTCAATGAAGTTAAACTCATCTCTAATGGATTTTACTACAAATTCTGTTTGGCATCCATAAACTTGGGACATAAATTTGCTCCGGCAGGTAGGTGGCTGTATTCAAAGGCTGGAGGACCAATACTTGTATACACTGCCTGGAAAATGTGGAATCCTCCCAACTGTAAAATGCAGCTTACAACATCTACAAAAATGGTTTGCAATCATTCTCAGGATTAGCATGGCTGATGCAAGGGATTATAGTGTCACAATAATGCTGGCACAATGCTACTTACACTAGCCTTTAAATAAAAAAGGCTTTATCTAGAAATGACCCAGTTTGTTTATCTGATTTGTTTTCATTCTTTCCTAATCCTTACTGTACCCACCTTTTTCCCATGTGCAAGATTCAGAGAGGAAAAGAGAAAGATGAAACAGACAAAATTTGAAAAACAACATTTAAACTTTACCAAAAGGAATTTGGTACTGGGGAAATGGCCAAAAACCCCACCAAATAAAATAAGTTCACAAACTTTGCTTTTTTTTCTGCCAGCAGCATAGAATGTTTGAATAGATGATCCTTGAGGCCCCTTCTAACCTGGCATTCTATGATGCTATTAAGTGAATGTTAATATTATACCAAGCTTATACTATCTGTATTTCAACAAGCTCTAAAAATCTTCTGTGCCATGATATTTATAAGCCCAAGAGATGAGTGATTTCTGTGTAAACTGCACCATGTCCATGTGCATGGCAGGACACTGAGGCAAGAGAATACATTTCTACAGAATACTACACTTTGGGCTGCTTGAGTGAACAAGTTATGACAATGATTTAAATGCCACACCAGCTTTGAGAGCCAAAATAGAGGGTTTTTTTACAATGAGAATAAGTGATTTGCAGAATTTAGGAAATCAACCTGTAATTTTCCCTTTTTTCCTACTGTAAATTTAAAATGGAAGCAAAATGGTTACGCAAACAGACAGGATCTGACTTCCCTTCCAGCTTGATGCAAATCAGTACATTTTCATGAAACAGGAGCAATTCCAATCATTAACTGTTAAAAAAAAAACAACAAAACAACAACTTTGGAAGAGAGGACTCACAGTATTTTGCTTGCAGCCTATGGGTAACATGCTAAACCATGAGCTTCATTAACTTGCTGCAAATCTGAGAGTATTTAATTTTATTTAACTAGAAATCATACGTATTTAATATTATTCTTTCTGATTGACCAAGAAATCAGACAACAGTTTTGTAAGAATTACTCATAAAAAGATAACTTTCAGTTACTACCTTGGGTTGGAACAAAAGCAAAGAATGACACTAAACCAATTATACTAATGCTACCTTATGTCTAGGCCTACAAGCTCTTAGGGTCAGATGCTTGAGGGGTGATACGAGTGCAGCTTCTTTACTTCAGCACAGATTCCCATGCTTGTCACTGCCTAAGAACAAAACCATTAGCACTTGGAAAACTGTTAAAGCTAGATGTGAAATTTTCATCCTACCTTTCTGAAGAGCAGAGGGTGCAGCACAAAACTCTGTAATACAAACTATCCCCATCAAGAGTAATGGCAGCTTTCTGAGGGCAATGCACATCTTGGGGTGCTAAATGACCGGGTGAAAACAAGGAGTTTTTAGTGGGGAAAAAGAAACTCAAATACTACCCTGCAGGAGAACAGCAACTCATTGAAATAGAAGTTACTCATGAATCCATCCATGAAGCACTTACCTGCACAAGTAAGTCTTCCAAATTTAACGGAGCATGATTCTTTCCTATGCCATTACTGAAGTCCTTGCCATAAAGTACTAGCTAAAATCCTCCCTAAAACTAGTTTTTTCAGGCACAATACCAAAATGAAGTCGCTAATACTTGCTTTGCTAGCAACACTTCCCTGAGCTGATCTACAGACCAAACTAGAACACACATTAACAGAATGTCAGTTCATGTTTGCCCCTACAATTCCTACAGCTTTTGAAGAAGCAGTACTTTGTATTTCTGCCACACTTTATATTTATTCAATTTTACAGACCTGAGAAACATATCAAAAGTTTATCATTTAGTTGGCAGAACACCCAGTGTATTACAGGACAAAGATAACTCTCAAAGTGTCCTTTTTTCCAGAGAACAACATTTAAATCCCATTTTTGAAATGCAGCAGGACAGGGCTCAACTTTTAGAAACTATTTCAGTATCACTGCAGTCAGCAGTGCCAGTTCCAAGTCACTTAAGCAGCTAAGCTCCTCTTTTAATAGCATTTAAAGTGCAGGTCTCTTAGAAGACTATTCAAATTGTAAATATGGAACACATCAGCAGCTAAAGTGAAAGATTTCACAAACCAGAAAGCATGAGTTAAATTACCCTACAAATTCACCACTTCAGACTTCATCTTACCAGTTTTAGCATGTGTTGCCTGACTTGAGAGTGACTGAACAAAGTGGTAAATACAATTAAAATACTATCTGAACTATCTTAAATTCATATGCAATATATAAGCACCAAGTAAGACATCAATCATCAAGAGAAGCAATAGATGACAGAAGCCACAAGTCTGATTTGTACCAGAAAGGACAAAGATTATTTATAGCTGGAAATAAATAAATATTTACACAAGATGGAAAAAAACTGTTTGCAATTTGGTTTTGTTGCTTTTTTTTCCTGACTTAAGTGGTTGAGCTCCTCAGCTTCCCCTCTATTTGTAAAAAATAAATCCCTATTTCCACCTTCCACAGACCCCATAATTTTCACATGGGAAATGCATCAAACTTTGAACACAGAAACGCGAGGTAAACAATACATGCATGTAAATACAAATGCCAATCTTGAAAACCTTCATAGTCCTAACTTGTCAAATCTACATTTTTTTCAAGATGCCCACAGGTAAATGACATATATATTCTTTTCAAACAAGTTGCAGCAGTAATTGAACTGTTTCTCTTTTTGTTGTTACCGTCACAATGGACAAGACTCTTATTTTTAAATTCTTCTCAGGCTCCCAAAGAAAATAATCTTATACTTAGCTCATTAGCCCCAGTCTGTTGAATATGTTTTATTATTTGGCCAAGGATTTCACTATACAGAAACTTTGAGTGGCAGTTGCTTTTTCTCTCATGCAGGACTTCTTAAGATTACAGCTTTCCTACTGGTCCTGTTGAGACCCCTAATTCTGCAACTTCTGAAACCCTCCTAACCGATATCATTCCAGTTTTAATTAAAAAATTCAAAGGCTGCTTTCCTTCATTAATTCATTAATTCATTAGTATTTTGCAGGGATAAGACAAAACTCCTAAACAAAATCAGTTCTATGTACAGTAACGCTCTCTGATCAACCAACACAATGACATCCTTCGAAATTATGCCATGCAAGAGGATGATATAAAAAAAAGAATAATCTCTGCAGTTATAAGTGATGCTGTGCAAACTGCATGTCACATCAATGAGAAACAGAAACATCTGGCCCGCAGGCAAACAGAGAAACAATCAGCTCATTTCAAATTGATGTCAGAGGCAACACTTACTGTGCAGCAGCCAAACGGGTCAGAAAGCATTAGAAGGGCATGTTCTGTACAGCCTGCTCCTTATCTGTGATAGCAAAACAGAAATTCAGGCTTTCTTGCTCTACTGTGCTGTGTCCTCTTTTACTACCTATTTCTCTTTCTCCTGAAGCTGTTGTCTATCCTGTGTGCAGACAAAGGCACTAAAGACTTCACCTACTGCTCCCATTGGATGGCTGCAGCTTTGGCAGGCAGCTGCGAGCATCATTCCTTAAAGGCAGGCAAAGGTCAGATCTTACAACTTGATCTCCATCCATGCATGTGCTCTCAATCTCAGGGCAGAGCTGGCTTTGTATCCTTTTAGTGTCTTGTACCTTTGTAGTAGGAAAAAAAGCCATTAAATACTAAGAAAAACAAAGCCATTAAATCACAAACTGTCCAAAATGGCCTGATTCACCTTTTGGCAGGTAAAGCCAGTCCCTACCCTAAAATAATGGCACTAATTGGTGCTAGTCTGCCTGGCCTGTCCCTTCTTTTGCTGGAGAATAAAACGTTTGTAAATCAAAGTATACTTGATGCTGTAGAAATGTATGTAGATTCTCCTTCCTATGAGGTTATGAAAAAAAAAATAAATAGTAATGTACATATACAAGTAAGTTTAAGACCAAGAAAAGGCAAACAATATATTCATCATCAGAACCTTCCACAATGGTTGCTCTGTTGTTCTTGTTCTGAGGACTTCTCAAAGGGGGTTAAGGGCTCGTGAGAGGGAAGGCAGGCTGCTTCTCACTGAAGGTTGGTGAACCACCTGAGGTGGCCAGACTGCAAGACATAAAAAAAACATTTCCTATTCCTGCTAGAAAAGTTACTTCATGTTGCTCCCATATGAAAGAGGAAGAAAAGTGGGAAATTTATTTCCTTAGTTTGAAGTTTAGGAAAAGAGGGAAGAATATAGGGTGGGGAGGGTATAATAAACAGCAAATGTTTAGTAGTGATTAACCTGTTAGAAGATCAGTAGAAAAGACACATTTAAATTGGACTGGTTTTTATTGGGTTTTGTTGTGTGTTGTTTTTTAAACACAATGAGCAATGCTTTCAAAGGTCATTGATCACAACTGATCAGTTTGCAAGGTCACTGCTGGGAAAGCTATTAGCTCAGTAAAATGAACAGTTTCATATTTTGAACAAGATATAATGTCTTGAAATATTAAACTTTATAAATCTTACTGTATTAAATTTATGAAGCCAGCAGTTCTTAACTGAAAGTAGATTTTGTTTTAATAGAGACTAAATGTTTTATAATTACGCATGAACTTTGATTTTCCAACAAATTTATTTTTCATCAGCTTTAGCCTATTGTAATTGCAATTACCTGATTCAAATTATGCCCAAGTTTGATATAACAAGAAAATGAAGTTTAATGGGCTTAAGATAAGCCCATTATTGCCTACCATTTCCCCCAAATGAAAGAAGACTTTGAAATGCATATTAAAAGATCCTGAACAGCACCAGCAAAAAACTCACTTCAATTTTAATGTGCTTTAAAAATTTCTACCACCCACACACATACTGAGAGAGGTTAAATTTTCAGTCACTTTTTTCAGTCAAATCCTTCAGGTTACTTCTGAGATCAATTATTAGTATTAAAAGGCTGAGGGAATTACCTCCTTGAAATTCTTAATTCCTAGAATCAAAATATTAAATAACTCTTCAACTCACAAAAATGTTTTTCCCCCTCTACAAGCACAGTCTCATCTCTGAGCAAAACCACACTGCTCTACTATGTTATGCCTTCAGCTGGAATTCCTGGCTGGGATTCGTGGGTTTATTCGTTTTTTTTAAGACCAGCAGAGATCAGCGATAAATTTGCTTGACCTCCTGCAAAAGACAAACCACAGAATTTCACCTCAGCAATTTCACATGAATCCCAGTTAAGCTAGTTTTATAGTTTATGATTATAGCTAAGTTTGGGTCAACATTGCCCAAAAGATCTGCAAACTAAAATTTCGCAATGATAATGCTCGCAATGCTATCAAATAATTGTCCTGAAAGATTCCTATCCACAATTTTTCAGTTGCTGAGACATTTTTTTGGGAAGCAAAAATTTATAAAGAGGTCAGAGACAAAAGTTTTAAGCCTGTACTATTATGAACCTATTTAATTTCCATCTATTAATAAAAACAGTGCTGATGACTGGTTGCTAGCATACCAAGGACAAACAGTATCTGTTGAAAGCACACAAGGCAAATGCTTCACAAGTGATCCAAAACACTGATACATGTTCTCACGGCACCTGTATGTTCTTGATAGCTTTAAACCAGCCCAAGTTTAAAGTGCTACCAAGAAGGCAGTTCTGCCCCATCTCCCTTGAAAGTGCCTGTTGTTGCCATTCCCCTCAGCTAACCTCACTCCTGGCCAGGCTGTGTGGACAGCGCAATACTCCGCTTTTTTATGTAGCTGGAGCAATTGTGAAACTTCAGCTAAGTTTTAGGCACAGTATTGTCCTAAAACCAGACCCAGAGTTCCAGGCTTTGTTAGGACCTCCCATCTGGTTCTGGTTAGTAAAGATGTCTCAGCTGAATGTTCTGCAATATTTAAATATCAGTTATCACATTCTGGGGATTATGAAGGCTCTTTTCTTAGGGTGTGAAGATCCCTGAAAGGGCAAAGTATCTTTATAGAGACTTTTAGCAGCATAGCAGAAATAAAAGATACATTCACCTAATAACTCCATAGCTCAAATAGGATAGTTGCTACAACACCTGCACAACTTCCATCCACTCTGTATCCTTCCAAGTATTAGTCAAGCTAATATATCAGCTTCCCTTGGATGCAGACAACTTTGAGACTTTTACAATTTCCTCCCCCACTAACACTGTGATCCCATTACAGCCCTCCTTGTAACTGAAAGGGCCAGTGGTCTTGCCTCCCAGAGAGACATTTAGTTATGTTTTATTGCTTCTAATTAACTAAAGTGAGGACTCAGAAGGAGCAATAAAACAAGAAAGGCTGGGTTTTTATAATGTTTTTTCTTCAACATGCTGCATCCTTCTAAATTCTTCAGCTGACCTGTCAGGGAACAGAACAAAGTGGACAATAGCAAG